ATTAACGGGAGAGGACGTGCAAACGTTACTGCTGCTGCTGGGTTGAGATTCTAGAGTCCGGAGTGGAATTAAAAGCATGACATTCATTTAAGGTTATCGCGTATTTTCTGAGCAAATGCTTTTGCATATTTGTAGTGTTTCCTCCCTTAAATGAAAGATCTACTTTGCAAGTATTGCAAGTTGCCCTGTTGTCATCTGTTTTTGTAAAGTACAACCAAACTTTTGAGCGGTTGTGCCGCTTAGGCGCCATGTTTCCTGCCAGGTAAATGACACTCCGCAACGTGGTGACGTCATTTGAGGCGACTGGAATCGATAAGGGAATCGTTTGCAAAAATGGCAAACAATTCCAAGGAATTGAAACAGTGGGAACCGGTTCTCAACAAGAATCGGTTTTCGATTCCCATCCCTACTTATAGTATTTATAGGAAGTTAGACCCTCTCTAACTCTCTATTTTGTTCAAACACTTGACACATGTAATCACATAACATTATTGGATCACCTTATTTAAGGTCCTTTGCTAAACCAAATTAAATAGAAATATTAAATTCACTAGTATTTCTCAGAGCTGCACCTGTTAGTAACTTGTTTGGTATATGAATGATGCTAAATGTGTTGCTTTCCCCAGCTATGAGTGGCTGATTCCTATTCGATGGATGAGGGGTGGTACGGTCCAGAAAGATATCTGGTGGCTCATGGAAAAGGAAGGTAAAGCTGGTACACAGTTTTAATGTGGTTTTACAAGTAGAATACAAATGTAATTAAACTTTTTGAAAATTTAAGCATGTGGGTTTTTTTTTTCTTTTCCTCCATCAGTGATAAACTTAGAAATGAGGAGTGATGGTTTTTGGGTACTGGCCAACATTAATGTAACTGGATATTACCGGGTAAACTATGACTTGGGAAACTGGGAACGCCTTTTCACCCAGCTTAATACAAATCACAAGGTACACAGACACTCTCTGACATGATTCACATTTTCTCATTTAATGGATGCAGGACATCAATTTCGTTATTTTCTGTTATCAGTATTTATGCATATGCATAATGAGACATGCATATGTACATATTAAAAAAATCCCCTCTCATCCCTGTGGGCAGTCTTTATCCTTCAAACTCAGGTCCTCAACCAGATCTTGGATGTTGTTCCTGGGATTTGGTGAAGCCACACCTAGCTTGGGGGGAGTTACTGAACCAAGTGCTCCGATTACCACTGGAACCACTGTTACTTTCACCTTCCACATCTTCTCGAGCTCTTCTCTGTGTCACAGCAGGGAACGCCTATGTATTTATGAAATGGACCCAAATGCAGACACAGGAGAGATAAACTGAGGTTTAAAGAAAAAGTGAGCCTTTATTGCGGCGGATGGCAAAACTAAACTAAGACCTACACTGGGAAATACTAAATTAGCTATGAAAACAATTTTCCTGGGGATAAATAAAGTATTATCAATCAACCAGTCAATCAACCAATCAAAACAGTTTCGATGGATAAGAACATGAAACTGAAAAGGAACATGCGACTATGGAGCTATGAAATGAACCAAACATGAACATGAACCTGAACAATAGAGAAAACTCTGTGACTTGACCTGATTCAACATGAACGCAAACAGACGACCCAACAAAGACTGCATGGATCACACAGACTAAATACAGACAAGAGGTGATCAGGGAAAGTGGAAACACATAGGGAAACAGCTGACACAAATGAACCTCATGACACCACAGGGAAGAGAAAGACTAAGCACAATGAACATAGAAACAGACTTTCAAAATAAACCAGGAAACATGGAGAGACAGAGACGTAACAACACCGGCTTGACAACATGAAACACACAGACAAGAAATACAAGTCATACTGACACAGAGGAAAAGAACAGACTCACACAAGGGAACATAGATGAAAACCTAAACTGGAATAACACTTAACTTAATCCTAACTGATAATACCAACACAAGACTTTTATTTTCACATATTTTCAATATAATATAAGAAATAAAAATTACAAAATGAACTCAAAATGCTGGGTCACAGAGACTCAGAGTCCCCTGAGACTCTGAGCCCCTGGTACTTCTCTAGCGTTCCTTCTTCCTGATGTTGCTATTATTCGGTATCGCTAAGGCTGTCACTACGGCTGTCTTCTTCTGCTTGTCCACCACTACTATGTCCGGTTGGTACATACCAAGCAGGAGCCCATCCTTCCATGATGGTTCCTCCTTGTTCTTGGGTTTCTGCTGCCTGAGGTATTCTTACCAATTACCTAGTGGTAAGTGTTAAGGAGAAATGACAGCCCCAATTTGACAACTGTAAGAATTTATATGATGGCAAGGACCAATCAGCTAAGTAAAGACAAATGACAGCCCATAATTATTTTAAGAACTGAAGGTCAGTCAGTCTGGAAAATTGCTAAAACTTTGATTGTGTCCCCGAGTGCAGTTGCAAAAATCATCAAGCACTACAACGACACTGGCTCACAACAGGACCACAACAGGAAAGGAAGGCCAAGAGTCACCTCTGTTGATAAATTCATCCAAGTCACCAGCCTCAAAAACTGCAAGTTAACAACACCTCAGATTAGAGCCCAGATAAATGCCGCACAGAGTTCCAGTAGAAGACACATCTCTACATCAACTGTTCAGAGGAGGCCGTATGAATCAGGCCTTTATGGCCAAATAGCTGCTAAGAAACCACTACTAAGGAAAAGCAACAAGCAGAAGAGATTTCCTTGGGCCAAGAAACACAAGGAATGGACATTAGACCAGTGGAAATCTGTGCATTGGTCTGATGAGTCCAAATGTGAGATCTTTGGTTCCACTCGCCGTGTCTTTGTGTGATGCAGAAAAGGTGAACGAATGGTCTTCATGCTTCATGGTTCCCACCATGAAGCATGAAGGTGGTGTGATGGTCTGGGGGTGCTTTGCTGGTGACACTGTTGGGGATTTCTTGAAAACTGAAGGCACACTGAACCAGCATGCCTACCACAGCATCCTGTGGCAACATGCCATCCCCTCCTGTTTGTGTTTAGTTGGACCAACATTTATTTTTCAACAGGACAATGACCCCAAACACACCTCCAGACTGTGTGAACGCTATTTGACCAAGAAGGAGAGAGACGGAGTGCTGCGCCAGATGGCCTCCACAGTCACCTTACCTTAACCCAATCGAGATGGTTTGGGATGAGATGGACCCCAGAGTGAAGGCAAAAGGGCCAACAAGTGCTCAGAATCTCTGGGAACCCCTTCAAGACTATTGAAAAAAAACATTTTAGGTGACTACATCATGAAGCTCATCGAGGGAATGCCAAGAGTGTGCAAAGAAGTAATCAAAGTAAAGGGGAATTATTTAGGAGAAACTAAAATATAAAATATGTTTTAAGTTATTTCACACTTTTTGTTTACTATTCAAGTCCATATGTGCTCGTTCATAGTTTTGATGTCCTCAGCAAGAATCTATATCATTCCAGGTTATACCAGTGATAAACAGAGCACAACTTGTGGATGATGCATTCAGTCTGGCCAGGTAGGTCCATTAAGTTGCAGTTTTTCACTAATTTCCAGTTATAATAATTCTGGTGTCTTTTATATATACCCACTGATAAAAAAGTAACTATATAACTTTTCCTATTTGAGACAATGAAGTACTGACTCAAGTGCAAGCTTTAGGTTTTTACGCAGATCTTTTCTTTTGATGCCACCTTTTGCTTTTCAGTAACTACATTTTCCCTCCAGACTTAGTTAATTGCTGTTTCAATTTAAAGTTTTGGAAGCTTACATTTCTATTATTTATAATCAGGAAATACAGATGATTAGTAATGAAGAGTAAGGGCAGCTATGAAGAGAATGAAAAGTGAAAAGGAAGCTGGTGCCATGGTCCTGGATCTTTGAGCCAGTTTTTTGTTGTGGTCTCCTGGGCCTTTCTTTTGGATTTTAGAGATGATTTAAGTTCATGCTCAGTATTTTTTTATTCCGAGTTTAGTATTTCCTTGTGCTTCTGAGTTTCTTATGTATATTTTCTCAGGATGTCTTGTTTGATTATGTTAGTTCCTTTAATGTCCTAGTCTCTGTGTTCTGTCCTCAATGTAAAACCCTACCATTCCAAAGGAACTACAAGTAAGCCTGCAGTCTGAGAGCAAAGTGTTCTATAGTGGCAGCATGGGACACTAAGGACTTTAAGATAAAATGGGGCCTGCTCATTCAAGACCTTTTATGTGAGGAGAAGGATTTTAAATTTGATTTTTGGATTTATAAAGGAGCCAATGAAGAAAATCCAGTATGGGTGAAATATGCTCTCCTTTTCTAGACTATGTAAGTACTCCTGCTGCAGTATTTTGGATCAACTGAAGGCTTTTTGTTGAGTTCTTAGGACAGCCTGATAAAAATGAATTACAATAGTCAAGCCTAGAAGTAATCAATGCATGAACTAGTTTTTCAACATCACTTTAAAAAAACAGGATCTTCCTAATTTTAGAAATTTTGCACAAATAGAAGAAAGCAGTCCTACATATTTGTTTAATATGTATATTGAAGGACATAGCCTGGTAAAAAACACCAACTCCAGGACTTGTCAGTCTTACTTGAGCAGAGGAAAAGCAAACTCTTTGCGTTTTGCGGGGCGGCATCGTGGTGGGGGCGGCATCACGGGCATCGGCAATTTAAAAAAAAAATAATAATAACTCGCACGTCATGCCAGCGCATATTGGGAATGGCATAGGCACCGATCGGTTTTCTATCGCCCATTTGCTGGGAGTAAGGGCGCCCTCCGTTTGCGAGGTGCGCCTGCAGCTGAAGTCAAAGTAAACTTATAGAGAGACGAGACGACGAGGCTCCAGTTACAGCAGTGCAAGTAAACAAACAATATATATAAGAAGACTAAGAAAATAAATATACACTTTAGGACCAGGGGTAAAGGGATCAATAACAATTTTAAATTTACAGTTTGATGATTTAAAGTCTCACACACAAGCCGTCGAAAGGGGAGGGGGGCCGGCTCCTTCCAAATAGAGCACATTTCAATCATAATGTTGTAAATCCAAGACCATTATCTATTCATGATTTGAATCCTGGGTTGTGTGAAATCCCAGAAATAAACCCTAGACAAAGCAAATCTATTAGGTTATGTTGTGGTGATCCTCGGGTTGGGGGATGGGTGTTCATACTGGAGTGCAAAATTAAAACCAATGGAAGATTGACGAGAAACGTTCAAAGCCATCAGGTCCTCAGTTTAGAAAAAAGAGAAAAGAAGAGGAGGAGAAACGAGCAAAAGATACAAGTGTGTTATTGGATGGCAGGTCATCCTGAAACAATCAGAATCAGAATACTTTAGTAATCCCTAAGAAAATTATGTGGGTTACAGTTGCTCCAAGAAGAAATGGTAAAAATAGTAACAGTAACAGACTAAACTCCAAACAATACATTATGTTACAGATTTTAATATTAATTAGTCATTGTCAATTGTTGATTTGTCCTGCTCTCATTGTATGACAAATTATGATGGCTGTTTGGTAGCATACTCTCTCTCTCTTCATATGTGTGTGCAGACTTGCTGTCTATCTGAGAACAAGGCACAACTTGCTATTGCAATAAACTATAAT